GATGTACAAATGCGCTTTACACAATTGATGTGTGTATGGATTGGGCTAACAGTTGTGTGAGCCCCTAATAAAATGTTAAAAAAGAAAAAAAAAAAGAAAAAAAGACTTTGGATTCTAAACAGTAGGACCAAATCATTGGCCGATTTTAATTGACATTTTAATTAAACATATCAATGGTAACACACACCCACTCACCCCTCTCCTCTCCCCTCTCCATGAGAACAACACGACAAAGGGGAGAGGAGACTCTTTCAGCGCGTTTCCACTGAGGCCCGTGGCATCTGCAGCTGATTCAGTATCAGCAAAAGAGAAACACGAGACCCCTCTCCCCGGCCACCAGGGCAGAGCGAAGAATGGTTCTCTAAAAAAGACCTTTACTGTGGGTTCCCTTCCCTGCTGGAGAGGGGTCATGTTCATTTCATTCTGATACTGGCCCAGCCGCACTGAAAGATGGCTGGGTTGCTTGTCTGTCCAAATCCAAGTGTCTGGATTCAAAAGGGAAAAAGGAAAAAAGAGATGTGAAAGAAAGTTCTCATTGAAAGGCAGCGTTTCACAAACCCTGTTTCTCTCCCTGCCTGACTTTTGAGGAGAAAATGTAAAACTCCCCTGTATAATGCAAGTGGGGTTTAATTGTCCACCCACCCCCACCTCCCCCACCACCGCTGTGCCCCATAAGCCCCAAGTGGAATGAAGCATTTATGCATGGTCAGGAGCTGGGCTTGAGCCTTGGGGGGTGGGGGGGTGGGGGGAGGGAAGGGATCCTCAACTTTAGTATCAAATCTCGGTTGTTCTTATCATCAAACTATCAGGGATTTACATCAGCTCTTCCCCTCCTTTGTGTGATGCAGAGAAATTTGACCAACGACAGCCTTTGAGATGTTTCTCTCAATACTTCACCGTCAACCTTTATCTAAGGACCCCAAAGTGCTTAACAATTTCTGCCTGGCTCCTCGATTGTAGGTCTGCTTGAAATGACCAACCTAACAGGGTCTGTCAACAGAAATTCCTTTGCTGGAAAGATGAGAGAGTGACGGCATTCGCCTACACTGTGCAGTTTTAATAGGGAAATCGGTAGCCAGCTCGTGGGGCGAGAGAAAGCACTGCCCCTGTTTCTTCGTGTGGGGGCATTTCTGAGGGGGAGAAACACCCGCCTGCCACAGCAAGGATGCTTAAGTAAAAGAAAAAAGCGAGCATTTCCTTTGAATTCGTTTTTCTGCATTCTAATGGCTCCCGGAAAAGAATGAGAAATGTGCTACCAGCAGGCAAGGGATGATCCTTACCAGCGGCCAGAGATGAGCCAATCTGATATTCCATAGCTCTTCACCGAGAGGGAAAACCAAAAATCAAACCAGTCGCTTCAAGCTGATTCCGATTCATGGAAACCCATGGAGACAGGGCGGATAAGGGTCCCCGAGCATTTGCAAAGCTGTGACCTTTGGGGAACCAGGTCGTCAGGGCACATCTGGATGGGTTTGAACCACCAGCACTTAACTGCCGTGCCACCTAAGAGCCCTGTAAAGTAAACAGACCTAGAACACTTGTTACCTTACTTAACTCTTGACTTCATTTTACTCCAAAAGAAGTCTCCTAACAACACTGGCTCTTGCCCTGTTCTGTCCATTTCTCCCTCCATC